TCTGCAGTCCCATTTTGGACAAATGCAAGCTTTTTGGACAGAGTTACGCTCCATGCTTCCTGGACGTAATTCCACATATGAAGACTGGCTAGCCTGGTACGAACGGCATGAGGTGCATCAATTGTTTCAGTCCCTTCCTGAATATTCAACTATGGCTGATCAACTACTTCACCAGCCTCAATTTCCGACTTTGGCCTCAGTTATGGGAGCTCTCACTGCTTATGAGACCCGGCAGCAGACAGCACGACTCAATTTGTCAACAGACACTCCTACCTCTTCACTCGAGACTGTTTTGTCTGTACCTGTCACTGCTCCTGTTATGAATTATACTTCTCCACAGGCTCCCTCTCCACAGGCTCGATCTAAGCTCTCTTGCAAATATTGTAAGAAGGAAGGACACCGCATTGAGACATGCTTCAAGCTTCATCCTGAGTTACGTTCCTCAGGTACTGGACGTGGTCGGCGACCCCCTCAGTCTCAACCCTCTCGTACACCAGGATTGTTGGCCAATGCTATACCTTCTACTACTTCAGACTCTACTATTCAAGCTATTGAAAGTCTTCGCCGTCAACTTGATGCTTTTCAACATATCACCTCTACATCCGCCGCACAACTCTCTGGTATGCATTTTGCTGGTTCTTCAGCTAATCCTTCAGTCTCTGGTATGAATGATCTCTGGATTTTTGACTCTGGTTGTTCCTTTCATATGACTTGTAATGCCTCACTTTTATCCTCTGTCTTTACTTCATCCTCTCTTCCTCCTATCTACACAGCTGCTGGACAACCATTGTCCATTACTCAGTATGGCTCTATTACCCCACAAAATGATCCATCTGGTCGTCTAACACTTGGTCCCGTCTATGTGGCTCCACAATTGTGCTTGAATTTAATTTCTATTAGCTCTTTATGCATGGCGGGCCTGTTTGTCTCATTTTCTTCTGATACTTGTATTGTGCAGGATCCACAGACGGGCAAGACGGTTGGGGCGGGTCGTAGGAGGCACAAACTGTATTTTCTGGAATATCTTCACCTTCCAGAGTCCATACGTCCACGTTCTCTTGTTGCTTCTCTTTGTTCGTCAAAACCCTCTACCTCGCTTCCTGCCAATTTATGGCATAGACGACTTGGTCATGTGTGTAATAAAAGGCTGGAGAGTCTTATTCAGTCTGGAGTACTTGGTCCTGTATCATCTAGTTCTAGTATTGAGTCATGTGCTGGTTGCAAATTGGCTAAATTCACTGCTTTACCATTTAAAATGAGTACATCTGTATCCACTTCCTTATTTGATTTAGTACATTCTGATATTTGGGGGCCAGCTCCTTTGCCTTCTTCATCTGGCTACTTATATTATGTTAGTTTTATCGACGATTTCTCTCGTTTTACATGGGTTTACCTACTTAAGAATCGCTCTGACGTACTTACTGCTTATCAAGCCTTCACTGCTATGATTTTCACTCAATGGCAATCTCGTATTAAAGTTTTTCGTTCTGATTGTGCCAAAGAGTACCTATCCTCTGCCATGCGCTCTATCATGTCCTCTCATGGGACTATCTTTCAACAGTCATGTCCCTACACTCATGAGCAAAATGGTGTTGCTGAACGCAAACATCGTCATATCCTCGATACTGCCCGATCAATGCTCATTTCTTACTCTGTTCCTCGTCGTTTCTGGGCTGAGGCTATTCTCACCGCGACTCATGCCATTAATATCACTCCATCTAGCTCTCTTTCCGGTGCTACTCCTTATAGTCGTGTTTATACTCATCCTCCCCGTTATGATCTAGTTCGCGTTTTTGGTTGTCGATGTTTTGTTTTTCTGCCATCTCACGAACGTGATAAATTGTCTCCCAGAGCAGTTTCTTGTGTTTATTTAGGAATTAGTTCAGAACATCGAGGTTATCGTTGTTATGATCCCGCAACTCGTCGAGTTCATATATCTCGTCATGTTCAGTTCGAAGAGGATTCTCCATATTATTCTACTTCTGATGACTTTAATTTCCTCCACTCTACCGATCATGCTTCCCCGTCCACTGCATCACCCACTTCTTCACCTCAATTTTCCTTTCGAGATCTCCCTGACATCTCTCCCTCTCCTTCTGTTGACTCTTCCTCACCTGAGTCTTCTCTTACACCATCTAATCCATATCCTGTGGACACAACTCTCACTCCAGAAAATACTGTTGATCTTCATGCACCTGCGCCAGCATCTCCCCCGCCTGAGGTTCCTCTTGCTCTTCGTCGAGGCAAACGCCCACATGTCATGCCTGCCCGGTATGCTTCTGTTACTTCTTATTCACCTATCTTTCATAACTTTCTTGCTGCCATTCATACTATTGTTGAGCCAAAGTCCTTCCAAGAGGCAGTTCAAATTCCAGAGTGGCGACAAGCTATGGCTGAGGAATTTCAAGCATTTCAGCAAACTCATACCTGGGATATTGTTCCCTGTCCTCCTGGGATCTCTCTTGTTGGCAGTAAATGGGTTTATAAGGTCAAGTTTCGTCCTGATGGCACCATTGAACGTCGAAAAGCTCGTTTAGTGGCTAGAGGTTTTACTCAGCAACAAGGTATTGATTATGAGGAGACCTTTGCTCCTGTTGCTCAGATGCCCACTGTGCGTACTCTCCTTGCGGTCGCTGCTGCTCATCGTTGGCCCTTATACCAGATGGATGTCAAAAATGCTTTTCTTCATGGCTCTTTATCAGAGACCGTATATATGCAACCGCCTCCAGGGTCAAATATTCCTCCGGGACATGTATGTCTCCTTCGTCGTGCTGTTTATGGTCTCAAACAGGCACCCCGCGCTTGGTTTGAGTGTTTTCGCGATGTTGTGCTCAAAGCGGGCTTTATAGAAAGTCATCAAGATGCTTCTCTGTTTGTTCGCACTACATCGCGTGGCAGGGTTTTATTACTCATCTATGTAGATGATATGATCATTACAGGTGATGATATGACAGGTATACAATACGCAAAATCTCAGTTGCAACAACAGTTCCACATGAAGGATCTTGGATCTCTTCGGTATTTCCTTGGTCTAGAAATTTCTCAAGGCCCGCGGGGTGTATTACTGTCTCAACAGAAGTATCTCTCAGATATTCTAAATCAAGCTGAGTTAACTGATAATACAACTGTCGATACTCCACTCCAGCAGAATGTCAAACTTTGCTCTACTGACGGTGAGCCTCTATCTGATCCTACCCGATATCGACATCTTGTTGGTCAGTTGGTCTATTTGTGCATCTCTCGACCAGATATCTCTCATGCTGTTGGTATTGTCAGTCAATTTGTTAGTGCCCCACGTTCTGTACACTATGCTGTCTTATTACGGATTCTTCGGTACCTCCGGGGTACTAGCACTCGCTCACTTTTGTTTCCTGCTACATCTAAGTTAGAGCTTTGTGCATATTCTGATGCTGATTGGGCTGGTGATCCAACTACCAGAAAGTCTACCACAGGTTATTGTATATTTCTTGGTGATTCCCTTATTTCCTGGCGAAGTAAGAAACAAGATGTTATTGCTCTTTCCAGTACTGAGGCAGAGTATCGTGCAATGTCCACAACAGCTAAAGAGATTATTCATCTTCGTCGCCTTCTCAGTGATTTCGGTATTTCTGTTACGACTCCTACTCCTCTCTACTGTGATAATAAGAGTGCCATCCAGATTGCTAATAATCCAGTATTTCATGAAAGGACCAAACATATTGAGATCGACGCTCATTTTGTCCGTCACCAAGTTATCAAGGACAAGACAATTCTACTTCCTCATGTTTCATCCGCTGACGAGCTTGCAGATTTCTTCACAAAGGCCTTACCTGTTCATCGGTTCCAGTTTCTTGCACGCAAACTCACTTTGTTTGATCCAACATGAGTTTGAAGGGGGCTGTTGATAATAGTGTATTGTAGTGGGTTTTAGTCCCACATTGCTTGGGAGAACAAACCTCACACTCCTCTACTTGTATAAATATATGTGCACACTCAATATTCAATTCAAGGGAAATTTACCCAAGATTCTCTCTCTCTCTCTTACTTTAACAAGATGATAATTTATTTCAAATCAAGTAATTTGGGAACTATTTTTTAAATTGGATTTAAGTAAATGTTTATCTATCATTAAAAAAGCCATGCCATTTTCCCCTCTCTTTTACCTGTGCTGAACTTGACAATCAAACCTGAGCCTAAAAAACTGAAATGATATTGCTGAAGTTGTGACCATATTCGATAAAGGGCACGTTTGGCAACTAGTTAAACTCGCTTATAAGCCACTACAACTTATTTGATAACGTGCTTATTTTAGCTTATAAGCTATAAAAAAAGCTCCTCTAGCCCAGCTTGTTTTTTAGTGGCTCATAGGTCATAGTTTGACCAAGTAAATGACAAACTTGCATCTAAACATTTAAGATAAGTTCAAGTCTATACAATGTTTAAATATAGAGCCATGTCTAATTTGATCATTTGACAATAATTACGGATTATAATCCACTCGTTTACCAAACACAAAGAAAGCGACTTATAATCCAACTTTTTTACCATACACTTTGCCTTATGGTCCACTTTGCCTTATAATTCTTTCGTGAGTTATAAGCCAAGTTGATTAGTTTCCCATCATGCCCAAGTAATTAAATATTTGATAGCTCGGACTCTTTAAAAGTCCAGCTAATTCTCCTATTTGGCAAACGATTATACTAACCTCTATAATGTGCAACGTTCTTGATGATGCAACTATCACTTTCAAGCCGTCTAAAATTGCAGGCATCATCAAGGGCGACATTTAATAGGATGCGAGGATCATTAGATATTCAAACACACACAAAAAAAAAAGCATTATTAACAAGCATGTTATTGCCAGCTCAGCACGTCAACCCCCCACCCACCCAAAAAAAAAAAAAAACCCAAAAACATGTATGGAAAATTATGCAACTAAAAAACTATGCTCAGTACCCCAATAATGTTGAACAATTCCAAAATATCAAACAGATATAAACAAACTAACTAAACAAAATATATATTAAACAAACTAACTAAACAAAATATTTACCAGTGACAATATCTTTAGAACAAATGAGAAAATCTGTATACCAGCCCCAAGGTTTCCTAACCTGACCTTTACATGTAGACCTCCACACCGAGAAACTTGGAGGAGTGACACACGGGACAGTAACTGAGCTTACCTTCGCAGGTCTTGCAGAGGCACAGATGCCGGCATGGCAATAAAAGCATACACATCTCATTAACCCCGCAAGCCTTACAAGCCATGGAGTCTTTCCCGTCCTCTTTCGAGGAGACGACCGAGTCGGCCTCACTGTCTCCATGCCCTTCTCTGTTTCTTTGCGCTTCCTGGAGTTTTAATCGTAGGGCAACAACTGTGCCTGCATTGATCTTGGCCTGTTGCTGATGAATCCACATTTCATAATTCAGCACTCTGAATTGTTCCTCAAGCTCCGTCTTTCTCTTGGTGATGACCTGAATCTGTATGTCTCTCTCCTGGATTTTGTCGCGGAACCTTTGCTCAAAGGAAGCTAGAGTTTGGAATTGCTTTGCGCGGATATTTTCTAGTAGTGATTCCCTGAATAGATCGCCCTGGAGAAATGGCAATGTAGGACATGTAAAAGGAAAAATAGGCCAAGTACATGGAGCACATAAACAGTGTAAAATAAGAGCAGCCTAGTGACTAAATTTTGTAGCGGACAGCATGAGAAGCTGAATAAAATAGGGGTTGAACCCGAATCGTTAGGAAAAAGATATTAAAATAGCAACAACAATAATATGATAGATTACGACAAAGTGCCCTTTCCGTTGCCCAATATTCTATCGCAGCAGAAGTCATACAAACCACAAGAAGTATCCCATACAAGAACCTACGTCGCATGGACACAGGTACACGTGCGGGTTCAGGTACGGGTGAGGGTTCGGGACATGGAAAATTTGTAAAAGGTAGGGTACAAAGACACGGCTATGTACATATACTGAACTTGATAATTTACATAAGATCAATAAAGCTTTTTTGTTCACATGTTATGAGAACTAAAATTCCTAAAATGTTTGTATGTTTCCTTTTACTATGTAGATTATAAGTTGGAAAACAGCTTGTTTTTTTAACTATAAACCAAACCGACCTTTAAAATCATAGTTCTCGAGTCGGAACTACATATACTGAACCAAACCCAAGCCATGTGTAAAGGGTTTTATGGAAATAGATGTGAAGTGTTGGATAAATGTCCAAGAAGTGTCCAAGAGTATTTTAAATTAGGACATGTATTATAAGCCTGAGTACATGTTTGAATAAATATTCAAGGAGTGCCAATGTCTGATATGAGTGCTATACACAATAGAAGTGCCCAAGTATTGGTGTCCACTATGTGTCAGGTATGGGCATGACTTCATGATTGAATTACCAGGGTAACATAGTTAATAACTGCTCTAGACAATGTCCTGTACAAGAATGATAAGTAACAAAAAGAGAAGAGACCATTACAAAGCCTGGTTATGGGTAGGACACAGAAGTTGATATACACACATATCAAGACACCCACACACATGTACATGTATGACAGAAATACACATCATATAGCCTCAAATATCTGGATAGGGGAAACTTCCATGTGCAACCATGCATGTCCCAATTGGAGCTGATATCCTGTTCACGACTATAATTTATAGCTGTTATGTAGATGGCATGAGCCATGCATTGTCTGGAATGTCCTGAACAATTTTGCACTCAAAATGAAACAACATAAACTGAAACAACATTAACGTGCGGGTTCAGGTAGATAACCATGCAAGCTTTCAGTTGTCATCACAGGGTCATCGAAGGAAGGCAGAGACTCTTGAATGCCTATAAGGGTATTCTATACTCTCTTATAGTTAACATTGAACAAGATCATGATAAGGACAGATAAGATGATAGCAACGTGAAGGGTTAATTTGATAGACAAATAGACTAGCAATTCGTAAACAAACAGAATCATAAAAAACAAGTTGCCGTAAAAGAGCTACAGTGGCTACTCAGGAGCGGAATGCATGAAGTAAAGTTGGACGCCCTTCTATAGTCTAAATTTTTTATTGATATTCATGTGTGGTCAATTAGTTACCCCTACCAGTTTAGAAATGTCTAATTTACCAAAGGGGGAGAACAGGACTTGCTGGATATTAGTGGGATTGGTTGAGGAGAGATGTTAACATCTGCTCACATGGAAATGCTGTCAAAGCACAAAACATCAATAAGTAAGCATAGATCCTAGAGAGCACATTGTGGCCACATAAGATCGGGGTTACTTGGACCAGCATCTGAGCGTCCTTACAGCATACAAAATTTTAGAAGGACAAAGAACATGATATAAATATGGGTTTTTTTCTGTATACAGCCTCCTGAGTCTGTCGTAATTTACAATTAGCCCCCCCCCCCAACTCAATCTTGAATTTTGAAATTAGTCCTCCAAATGTTTAATTACTTTGAAATTAGCCCCTCAAATCTTCATACATTGAAATTAGTCCTTCAAATATGTTAAAATGTTTTGAAGTTAGTCCCTCCAAGTTGAAAGATTTGGGGAACTAATTTCGAAACACTTGCAAATTTTGAGGGGCTAATTTCAAAATATGAAGTTGGGGGACTAATATCAAAACACTTGAAGATTTGCGGGCTTAATATCGGAATTTGAAGATTTGGGTCACTAATTTCAGAATATGAAAGATTTGGGGGTTTATATCAAAAAAGCCCAATAAATATTTGTGCATATCTATTTCCAGGGACCAAAAGGGTCTGTTTACAACAACTTTTTACAAAAATGATATGCTAAAACAGCACAACAATTGCTACCACTTCTCTTTTCTCTTTTCCCCTTGTTGATCCTTTCAAAATGTTCATTCTGATCCTTTCTGCCTCTTTAATATAATAAAAACCTGTTTTTACATTCTTCATTTTAAATAAGTTGTGTTTCAGAGGGGATACATGGGTGTCAAGTGTTCTGTCTAATAAGGCTAACTATGTTAAACTGTAAGTGCTGGAACAACACCATGAAGGATGGATGAAGGAAAGATAGAAACACTTGATCTCTTGATATGCAATTCTTTGTTCGTATGTTAAACCTCTTACTTGATATCCAGGCTACCAGCTAAGGAAAATCCCAAAGAGCTTTTTCAGATCTGCTGTATATCCATATGGCTGAATGAGGAGATGATAACATGTGCTGGCATGTAGATGACAGGTAAAACAGGAAGTACAAGTGGTCATTGCAGATCTTAGAGAGTTTATGTTTGACCTCTAAAGATGTATAAAACAAAGTTGAGAACCCATGACCTTTTTGTGTAATTTTCTTTGTTGTTAATCAGGTAAAATATACCATTGCTTGCTAGGAATTGCAGAATGCCCAGTTGAAACAAAATGAGATAAATCTGCTGATACTCAGTAGGATTGGTTAAGGCGAGATGTGACCATGTGCAAACGTGGAAATGACATTAAAAATTTAAAACACAGATTATCAATGATCATAAGAGCGGGTCGTCGTGTCAAATATTCGGTAGCAGGCAGAAGCATCTTTACAGTGAGTTCGTTATTAAATTGAGCGATTGAGCAAATCCACTAAGGATATTATAAGGCCCCAACTTCTCACTGGTCTTTCAGATTCAGACCAAAGAAAATTTGCACAAAAATTACATATCAAAATTTGCAATGACAAGCAGATCCAATTGCATCCCAAGTTTCTTCAGAGAAAATGGAAAAGATTTTTAAAAAAATGTTATGATTATGGTACACTATACCCTTGAACTAAGGTCACTTGTGTTAGAACCCTCCCTCTCAACCTTGTAGGAAGGTGATGTACATGTACAACCTAGGTAACTAACCTCCTCACCCAACATCATTGACACACACTCAAGTGAAATTTTTCTTGAAATTTTCTTTTATGAGTACCCGCATATTTTCTTCTTCTTGTCTTATACGGATACCCAAAATAAAATTGGTGATTTATGTTTAAATCCAGAAGCTGAATCCAGGTATAAATGACACTGCATACTTTCTTCTTATTGTCTTATACGGATACCCAAAATAAAATTGGTGATTTATGTTTAAATCCAAAAGCTGAATCTAGTTATAAATGACACTGCATAATAGATTCCAAATTTCCCAAACTATCAAAAGTGTCCTTTCTCCTGCACAACCTAATCGCCTAAAGTAGCAGCATGTCAACAATGATGAGATCCGCCAGCAGGCCGAGCCACGACAGTGTTTCCTCTCTTTCACCTTTGGCACTCATGCCGGCCCACTTATCTCCCTTACCTATGCCATCACTATGCACAATATCATCTAAGATGTAATGTATATACACCCCAAAGCAAGGTTATTGCATAATTAGTAAGAAACCACATAATTTTAACAGTCACATGGCTTTAATTGGGAAGATAAATTAACCTTATTATGCCATTCTTAAGCTTCATAAGTATCTATGGAGTTATAATAAATCTTCATACTTCTCATTTTATCAAGAAACTTTCTTCATAAAGAGGAACTTGATGCTAGGTGATTGCACTTTGGCTTTTTAGGTTCTTATGCCACCCAGTCAGTAAGCTAACACCATGTTGTCAGAATTTTGTAGAAGTGTCTCATGGAGCCTTTCTAGTGTACACCTGTGAACTACTATGAGGCCACCTTTACAGGAACACAGTTGGAATAATCATAATCACTAAGTAACTGGACCCTAGTATTTATATATAAGCTAGTTATTCATGTTTCCCAAAAAACTTAAAAAGAAAACATGTTACATCCAGCCTCTGAATTAAGCCAATGAGATTGCAAAATGTGCACCCTGGTCCAGATCAAACCTTGACCACGTTCAATATCTTTCCCAAGCCAATGAGAACTTGGCCTTCATGGCCTGAGCGCAGCTAACCCTTGCTGAGCGGAAATGGCTAAGATCGAGCATTCCTCACATGGGCTGGAGAATCGTAACTAGTTTAATGAGGTAAATGCCAGCCATCCTTTGATATATTCCATCCTTGTCTCTAGTAGCTGGAGTAACTACCTCGGCCAACCAAAAGTGGATACAAGGAGAATTCAGTTAGAGAGGAAGCTTCCCCGTATATCACCTCGGTCGATGAGGAGATGACACATGTTCTTCCTCTTCCCCAGTTTACCCTCAAATTAGAGGGTTTTTTGGGTTTTTTTTAGTGTGTGTGGTGGGGGGGGTGGGTGGGTGGTGGGTGGGGGGGGTCCATTGAGAGATTGTGATTCAGGACTTTTCTTAGGAATTAAATTATGGTGAAAACATTAGTTTGGTTTTTTTGGAGGAGGGGGATTAGATTTAAATTTTATGTATATTGTTTAGGAGATGATCAGATTTAACTTTTATGGTATTATTGGTTGTCTAGGATTATGATTAGGACTAGGCTTTCAGAATCCCAATCTCAATCTACTCTATATATTCTAGTGAGAAAGTATAAAAAAAAATTCCAAGTTGAAATTCGAGGATTGCATTCTCCCTCCTAGGATTTTCTCTGTCCCTTACTCTAATGAGTCCTCATTTTAAAATAAAATACTAACTAATATTTACAAAACACTTGAAGTTGAATATTGCATATTAATATATAATATTATATAATTATCTAATAAATATTAAATATATCCAGCTTATAAATATATAAATCTTTAAATATATTAAATACATAAAATGTAATTCACTTAATAATTAATATTATTTAATCATTTAATATATTTAATACAATATATTTAGTTTAATATTAAATATATTCATTATTTAGCAAGTCTTAGATTTATAAAATTATTTAAATAGTCAATATAAATTTTATTTAAATATCACATAATAAATATCATAAATATCTATAATTAATATTTAGAAATTAACTAAGAAAAAATATTAAATATTAAATTACTTAAATATTTATTTTTAGTTATTAATATATTTCATATTAATATTAAATATATTGAACCATAATACTTTTTAATCATATTCTTCAAATATGTTTAATAAATTTAAAATGAAATATTCCTTATTATTTAATATTATTTAATCATTTGTATCTTTAACATTTAATAATCTAATACATTTGATATTAAATATATTAATTATTTATCATTTTTTAAAGATATAGAACAATTTATTAAATATAAAATGTTAAATATACATTTAATATTTATTTCAGCTAATATTTATAGAAATAGTAGATAAGAAATATAGCAAACATGGAATATCCACATGATTAATAAGTATACAGATTAGAAGTAAAAATTTAATCTTAAAACTGTAATTATAAAAATATTACTAGTTACGTAATAATTACATTTTTTTTAATAGAATACTAGTTTCCTTTGTTAAAAGTTATTTTACACTCCGTCCAAGAATCTATTCAAGTGTTTTAAGAATATTTCCAAAAAGTCTGGGACTCTAACCAAAAAAATCCCAATCCTAATTCGAACCCTAGAATATAGGATTCATGGACAACAATCCTAGTCTTACCAAACAATCCCGAATGAATCACAACTCCCAAGTTCTTTCTCATACATTTTCCACTATATTAATATTACGGTTTTTCTTTTTTCTTCCTCAAGACACAGACTTAATCATCAGAGCGAACCATCCCCGTTCCAACAGTTTATTCATATTGTAGGAGGAAGCTCGACCCAGTTTACTGCGAGAAGAGAAGTTGAGGGCCCTTCAACATCAACCCTCATCATCAAGAGAATCCTCTAAACTAGTTTCTACAGGAGACAGGACACAACACCACAACAATGTCAAGCGAAAACTAAGAGATATACCAGCGCTTTCATCTTGTTTGTGGATAACATCCAAGAGATCACCTTTTAACACCGAACATATTAGACGGCTAACTCTCAATACCCAAAAGAGTGCATCTTTCAGTAGAAAAACAAGCCCGAAAAAGTGCAAAAACCCTAGAAAAATTCTCACCTGCGAGCGGATGAAGCTGTCCATTTCGGCGTCCATCCTCTCCATCTCCCGCTCAAGCTCACCATCGACAGTCCGCAAGAGACTAAAATCCGAACCCAACTCCCCAGACGAGGAAGCAAGATTAAGATTAGCGTTATCAAGGGATAGATCCAACGCAGCAGAAACCTGTCCAATCTTGAAGAAATCAACAAGGGACGAGACCTGAGGCCTCTGCAAACCCTCCTCTTTCGGCCCCTTCATCACATTGAGCGCTGGGGAATTTTTTTTTTTTTTGTAGAAATTAAAAAGATAGCAAAAATTTTACTCGCAATGAAGCCCTAGAAAATGGAAAGAGAAGGAGAGAGATTACGACGAGCTTGGGGTTGATCGGGAACGTAGAAGGAGAGGGGATTGACGATGATTTGGCCGCCTACGGGATCAAAATTCCTGCGTTGCAGAAGAGAAAGAGACTGAATTGATGTTGAATTGGGCGAGGGTCTTTGGATTGGGCGAGGGTTTTACCTGAAAGGGTTCGGTTGCTGGCTCTCCATGCTTAGAGAGAGAGAGACAGAGCGAGAGAGAGAGAGAGAGCAGGGGGGGTTGCTATTTATAGAGGGGGTGCCGGGTGGATGCGGACTTGCAGTTGAGTCGAGCAACTGGAAGCCCGGGCCCACGAGTAGCGCACGAGTGATCGGACCGAAGTCTGTGTTTGAGGGGCGGGGGGCAATTTCCCCACGTGTTTTCAAATTGGGCGATGCTAGTACCTAGAATACGAGACTATTAGAGGGGAAATGTGAGATGAGACTATGGGAGGACACATGTGAGATGTTTTTCTCCTATTGCATAATGAACTGATCATGTCAGTTCATTATACAATAGGAGGGAAACATCTCATCTGTCCCCTCCAATAGTCCCATATTTTGGGTCCTTAAGGGGCTATTTGGTTCCCTGTTTTTGAGGGAAAGACTCTTTTGAAAGCCTGCCAAAAGTACCACTTTTTGACAGGCTTTCAGTCAAAATCGTCTCTAAAACAGGGAACCAAACAGTGGACCTTTGGCTGAAAGCCTGCCAAAAGTGGCACTTTTGACAACCAAACAGTGGACCTTTGGCTGAAAGCCTGCCAAAAGTGGCACTTTTGACAGGCTTTCAAGAGAGTCTTTCCCTCAAAAACAGAGAACCAAACAACCTCTAGGACATTTTTCTTTCAAATTTGGGTGAAGCTTCACAAAGCCTCCTAGAGTTTGTTCCATTCGGAAATAAGGACGAAACAATCCTGGAAATGCCACCTGACCCCCAAGATGTTGGACCACCCACAAAGCAGTGTTAGGTTTGAAGTCTTCCCAACATATATCCCCAGATGGCATAACCTTCCAATTTTTAAGAATATATCCCCTAACTCTCAACATTATTTTCAGAAAACTGCTTGTGAAAATCCTAAAAGAAGTTTCAGAAAACCCCCCATTACACCATTAGCAAAAATTGAAATTTTTTTGAGGGTTTGGCTTGGGGTGTTAAGAGACACGTCCAGATTTTTGGGTGGTTATCTCGAAATGAGCCAATTTTTTTTTTTAACTTTACCCTTCAAGAAATTATTTCAAAAATAGAAAAACCTATAATTTTTCTATGATAAGTATACATGTCCAAAGAAAATTTATCACATGAATTCTTTACCTAATTGTGTGATGTTGCTTTCTTGTAGAAAATGTTGACGAACAAAAACTATGGAAAGAAGAAAGTAGCATGAAGGAAACATATAGAATTCTACGCGAAAAACAACCAATTAAAATAGATCCAGTGAAGAGAAACATCACCCATTATTCATCCCAATTCCTCTTCGTAACGCCATTTATCTTAATTAAGCAAATGGCGTTGTATTAACCAAGTGCAACAAGGGCGTCTGAGATGCTATTTGAGCTGCGGGGAAAAAAGGAGAACACAGAAAACCCTTTTTTAGGACACAATAACAAGACAATGTCGTTTGACAAATGAAATTAATGATATATGTTTGCAACAATATTCTTTGTCCGCAAAATTATACAACCTGGTCACAAGCAGGGGAGGATATTTTCAGATCTTCCTGCTTGCATTATCATATACTTGTGGTATGCTTTTGAATATAAAGTTGCTGTAAATGTCACAGTTGAATTTGGTATCAAAATTCTCAACCACTTGAACAATTCATCATCGGCTGATGAACTTCTGTATAAAGAAGTGGTCGACTTCTCTGGAAGCCTGTGAGGTCTCACCACCATTTGCTGCTTCCAGTTTCTATCTTGAATTAAGCTTAGCAACACACATCACTTACAATTTCATTCTTGCGCTGACCGAAGATTTTTTTTAATGTACTTTCTCTGAAAGTAAAAACAAAGATCCCGAGCTCACAAATGCGTGCTAATCAAGGAACCACCACCACCACCTGTAAATACAAGAGGCACCATCTGCAACAGTAAGAAAATAGAAATCATTTTCAATATGGATAAGCAAATAATAATATTGAGCACAAAAACTTGGGATCTATGAAGGTATTTATGCAATTGGTGTGAAGGTATTTATGCAATTGGTATCCACAAATCAAACTTCAGAAGAGCTTTAATACTCCACTAGCTGCGCACATCTTAATCAACATCCTATTACACAAGACACTTTAGTGGAATCTATCATTACATACATTTATCATTCTTCACTTGCAATTGGCAGGTACATATTAAAAATTACTGCATTTTTTATAAAAATTACTGCATTTTTTATCTCCATAGAGCCCTTCAGTGGTGGCTAGTAGGAACCCCAAAAATAATGAAAGGAGTCTACTGCTGGCTAGTAGAGATCCCGTAAACGACGAGACAATGTTGCATTTCTTGTTCTCCAACAGACAAATACAAAGGGAAGGTTAACAGATAAATAATGTATTTAGCAATTTTATCGATCTAACTTAACTGTACTTTTAAAATTCTGTTAACAAGAGGTTTCTGCAAGTTGCAATTATAAAACACATTGTTAAGGGAATGTATGCATGTTATGTAGAAAATATTAGAAAAACATAGGCCAAATAACAGCAGAAATTAATTTACTTCTAAACATGAAAAAAAATGCAATTAACTTAGTAGCAAAAAATAAGCTAAAACTTCTGGCTTGTATGGTATTCAGTTGAATGTGCTGTCTTTAGAAACAATGGCAGCGCCTCCCTACAGGCTACGAAGGTATTAGGTTCTCAGCAGTAAAAGAACCTCGGAAAATCTGGCCTCCAATTTTTCATGAAAGCATAGACCTAACAAGACGTTCCAATCCGAACGGATGGTTAAAGTTTGCTAAATAAAATTTTGTAGAATTGATAGAATAAAATGACGGAATAAAAAAGAAGTGTAGGAAGATCAAGAAATTTTGTGCCTCGTTGGCCAAGGGCATTCACCTATTTTATAGAGACATTGTGCTAAGAACAACAATAATTTTCTGCAAAAGCAACAAAAATTTATAACTGCCAAGATTAAATTCAGGGGTCACAAAAATTAGTTCTAGCCATTTACTAGTATTTACGTATCAAAGTTCTAGGCTGACTAAGTGAAGAATGAATAATGTATGAATTAACCAAAAGCCTGATGAAATAAGGAAAGGAGAAATAAAATAAGAACTTTGCATAACAACTCATTTTTCCACAAAAAATATTAGACATTCTAACAGGTACATGTTTCTGATGGGTATGCAAATGGGTAAAGAATGCAGCCTGAGATTTTCAAGTGAGATTGCATACGGTGTCCATGGCTATTTTATAGCAAATTATTTGGCAATTTCTGAGATTGTGCTCTGACACTGACTAAAGGCTCAGCGTATTGTATTCCTGCAAATAGAGGTATATGTAACTGAAATCATGATTATGAGAAATAAACAGTTCTTTTATCTGTTAGCAGTGATGATGACATGTCTTAGAACTGGAGTTAAAAAACACTTTCTTTCCCTTTTCATCTTTTATGCATTCCAAGAAGACAAATATCTGGTGTTGTGTGTGCTAAGAACATAAAATTATAGGAGAGTGGCATTGACATTGATTACATAGTAACAAAACTACTTGCAAATATAATTCAAGGGCCAATAACCAGAGCGAACTTCAAAAATATGTGAATAAAATATAAGCAAGAAAACTAGATGGAAACAAGAGTAGCATACCTTCAGAAAATAAGATAGTATATGAGGCATTTCAACATTATTGGATGCTTCCATACTTCCGCAAGGCCCACTTTTCCATGTCCTCTCTTGCTTCCAGTAACATGGTTGCTATTTCCCAGTCCCAAATTTCACGAGCATTCATTCTCTTCTTTAAGTTCTTTTTAGAGGTACCATATCCCTACAGAAGTGAAACAAAGCTGTGGAAGGTGGTTTAAGTCTGCCAAACTCTACGACATCGGGTTACATTTGACAATGAAAACCATCCAAATTGCCTAATGCCAAAATATTTGTCTGAGGTTAAATAAAAAAGAAGGTAAACTTGATCACATACTTTTCAAAGCATAGAACCGTGTTACATGATTGACCACCTTTAAATTTGTAGTACAAGGTTGACATAACAAAGATTAGGCAATTGAAAAGAATAACCTTTAACCACTAATTTGATTTATCTAAGGTCATTTATCAAGATTACATTCACATGTATTACAAGTACTGAACTACACATTCATATTTTCACCAGCATAAGAACCACATAATAGAAGTGAGCATGTATGTTTCTCAATAAATGAAAAACCTGAAGAGAAGGAATCATCGTGTAGAGTTGCAATAAGAGGGATCAGTGCAGATTCCATTCTGATGGATTTCACAGTTCCACCACAGTTAGCAGCTACACATAGTGAGATGTGGTTTCATGAATATACACTCATACATGACAACAACTATTCACAGTTATATAGGAATTTGAAAAGATTGAGAGTTGTTGGACTTGTAAATATCCACATTCAAATGTCTGGAATTTCTTCACAACTGATCCATGGCTCCAAAATGAAAAGACCAATATTTGGGATTTCTTCCAGTTTCACCCAAGGGCGCCAAATTGAAAACTTGTAGGAGGCACGTGTTTAAGATCTTAAACGCGGTGGGGGGTGTATAAAATATGATCACTTCTTTGAAAATAGGTTGTGAGACATAAAACATGATTTATTATAATTACGAATCAATTGGGCCCAACTACTGTATTATAAGAAGCAAATAGTTGATACATACATTCACACGATCTGAAGATCTTCCTCTAGTTATTGAAAACTTAATGATGGAAAGTTACTTCTTGGTCTTATGATGGAAAAGGCTATGCAAGTATCACCTTACCCATCATGATACACGTAGAACCTTCAAGCCATAAGGTAGCAGCCCAGTGATAATGGGAGAAACTCTTGTTTATTAGTCATTTTTTGGATATCTTCTATGTTAGCGCATTAGAAAATCTGAAGCTATTTATCTAAAAAGCACTCTTCTCAAAGTCATAACAGGTAACACCCCAGTCTATCAGATGAGATCCAGCAGCTAGCAAAGTTCGCTCTTCATAGCTCTAACTCTCTAACCCTAATCCTTATTAATACGGGTGTATCTTCTCTTCGGAACTTAGCGATCCTCATGGGAGCTTGAGGATAGATGATTCTCATGATAACATGAGAATATGGGTGTAAAATAGTACAGTGGAACGCAGGTGGAAGCATGGAACGAGACGACGAGCAGCAGAATCAAAGTATCTAATTTTCAGCTCGGGAGTCGACTCATAACAGTCATGAGTCGACTCATCAGGTTGAGTCGACTCATGACTGTCATGAGTCGACTCATCGCTGGCTTTTGTGTTTTGTCCAGTTTCAGACGAGTTGACTCATCTCAGTCATGAGTCGACTCATCGATGGTTTCCTGGTTTGTTTGGGTTTCTGTTCACACGAATTCCTGTTGGTTTTGGGCTTGGTTATTTACCAGATTGCCACCCACGTTTGTACACCTATATAAAGGATTATTTTAGGGTTTCTAAACAATCAGAGGTAATTAAAAGAGATTCTAATCATTGTATTAGGGTTTAGTGATAATTGAGAGTTTGTTCTCTATTCTAGTGAGATTGTGAGAGAGGAATTGTAATCTTTTCATACTCATAATCTAGAGAAGGTAATTTTCTTCGTCATATACTGAATTGTGCTTGTGTTTCTGTCATCCTCTTCTCAACTCACATTTGATAATTCCGCGATTAAAGGTGCTCGCACGGCAACTCGTATCAAGTTGGTATCAGAACAATCAAATCCTGCGAAGGGGGCATCATGTGTATGGTCCTGACTCGATCGCAATACAAGAAGTTTGGCGAGATCCTTATTTTATTGGAAGGAGTCCAAGTTATAAGGAGGAAGAAGATGGCTTAAAGGGACAATTCAGCGAGGATTGATGCATTAGAAAAGCAGATCGAGACGATAGGTTCGACTCTCACACAACTCGTCAGTCTTATCCATGGAGGTGACAAATAAGGTGAATATTCTTCGAAGAAAATTGTTGAGTCCGATGTGGAGAGAGTAGATTCAGATTCCGACGAGGAGAAGGAGACCGTTAAGGCTGCATTGCATCAATGTGGTAAGAATTCTTATCAGAACCTGAAAATTGACTTCAAGATGAAGATTCCTGTTTATGATGAGAGTGTTGACGTCGAGCGGCTTGATGACTGGATCGAGCAGATAGAGACGTATTTTACTCTTTATGGCTATTCGTCAAAAGAAAAAATTATGTTCGCGACTTTGAAGCTTTCAGGCCACGCGTTGACGTGGTGAAAATCCTACTCCAAGCAAGAGAAGAAGGCGGTATCATGGAACAAGTTCAAGGAGTTACTGAGGAAGCAGTTCTACCCGGTGGGATTCGTTGAAGAGCGTTGGTACAAGTGATACGGCTTGCGCCAAAGGGTCAATCAAACCGTTCAAGAATACACCACGGAGTTCAAGCATCAGGTGATGGTCCTTAACATTACGACAGAGGAATATTCCGTATTTATGAAGTATATGGTGGGATTGAGTGATTACATCCGAAAGGAGATGAAACTATTCACGGTGGAATCAATTACAGAGGCGAGCGTGAAGACTATTGCCCTCGAGGACAAGCAAAAGAAGGGCAACGAGGCTAAGGGAGACTCCAAACAGACGGGAGACGAGTCTAGTGATTCTCAATCTAAGGAGAAGAAGAAGAAGGGTGATCCAGGAAAGACAGGGCTGATTTGTAGTCACTTTGAGAAGACAGGACACACAGCTGATCGGTGCTGAGAGAAGTATCCTCATCTCAAGCCAAGATGGTTGAAGAAGGAGGAGAAAAAGACATATATGATAGCTTAAGGTCCGAAAGAAGTCTCAGGGATGACAGAGCCCAACAGCAGTCTCAACCTTATGACGGGGAAGCAGATCACGAAAGAGGACGACGACCCGAGAGAGCAACTCTTTGTTCTTAAGTTGCAAGTGAAGACCAGTTTGGTTGATGCCATTGTTGATTCGGACAGCGAGAAGAATTTGATATCCAAGGTATTGGTTCAGAAGCTGGGTCTAAAGACGATCAAGCATCCGAAGCCCTATCTATTGAGGTGGATTCAGAAGGAGGAGAAACTATGTGTAGTTGATCAATGCACTGTCAGATTTGCGCTCCACAAGTCGTATATTGACGAGGTCACGTGCGACGTCGTTCCATTGGATGTTTATCAGATTATACTGGGCAATCCGTACTTATGAGATAGATATGCGATCTACGAGAGGCGGGCTCAGAAGTACACCTTCACTAAGGATGGTGAAAGGTTCATATTTCGTTCGGCATCTCTTCCGAAGGAGACAAGCTTGAGGAAGGTGACGCGAGCGAAGAGACTAGTGAATGCAAGCAAGAAGTTTCTCTCGCTGTGCATTAGATTTCCAGAAAAGCCATCGAAAAAGGATTGTAACTTAGAGCGAACGGTGACTACGACGAGACGCGGAACGAATGAGTTGTTTCCGATCGCACGTCGAGACCGGATTCCTAGCAAGGCCTGGTGGTACAGAAAAGATGGAGGAGCTCGAGAGTTTCCTCAGCAAAAGTTCTAACTTGAACGGGACTTCCAGTTCCTAAAGAGGGGACCCATGATACGGGTGTATCTTCTCTTCGGAACTTAGCGATCTTCATGGGAGCTTGAGGATAGATGATTCTCATGATAACATGAGAATAGGGGTATAAAACAGTTCAGTGGAACACAGGTGGAAGCGTGGAACGAGACGACGAGCAGCAGAATCAAAGTATCCAGTTTTTAGCCCGTGAGTCGACTCATAACAGTCATGAGTCGACTCATCGCTGGCTTTTGTGTTTTGTCCAGTTTCAGACGAGTCGGCTCATCTCAGTCATGAGTCGACTCATCGTTGGTTTCCTGATTTGTTTGAGTTTCTGTTCACACGAATTCCTGTTGGTTTTGGGCTTGGTTATTTACCAGATTACCACCCATGTTTGTACACCTATATAAAGAATTGTTTTAGGGTTTCTAAACAATCAGAGGTAATTAAGAGAGATTCTAATCATTGTATTAGGGTTTAGTTTTCTAAACAATCAGAGGTAATTAAGAGAGATTCTAATCATTGTATTAGGGTTTAGTGAGAATTGAGAGTTTGTTCTGATTCTAATCATTGTATTAGGGTTTAGTGAGAATTGAGAGTTTGTTCTCGATTCTAGTGAGATTGTGAGAAAGGGATTGTAATCTTTTCATACTCATAACTAGAGAAGGTACTTTCCTTCGTCATATACTGAATTGTGCTTGTGTTTCTGTCATCCTCTTCTCAACCCATCTTTGATAATTCCGCTATCAAAGATGCTCGCACGACAACTCGTATCACTTATTGGACTAAGGCTAAATTCAGTTAACGAGATCTAGTCTGCAACCACCCTAGAACTGCCTAAAGGCGGTTTGGCAGGTTAATGTTCAGCTGAATTCGCAACCCATAAGGAATGGACTTCCATCCAACAAACTAGCAGACTCCTAAAGTGAGACGTGAAGCTCAACTTGGTCCATCATACAATATTCAAACTACTCATTTATGGAGGACACACATACTACTTGACCATAATATTCTTGGGTGTGTCTGGCAAAACTCTCAAAAACTGGGCCATGATTGATTCTGGCTCAGTTTTGAGGTAAACTGATTCTTTTTTGAACCAATGGAGGGGTGGTTCAAAAAATAACTAGTTTTAAGCCTCTTTTTTGGTCTAAAAGAAACTGGGCCAAAACTGGCCCAGTATTTGCCAATCAAGAAACAAACCCAAAACTGGGTCAGGTTCAGTCCTGGCTCAGTTTTAAGGGTTTGCCAAACACAGACTTTAGGATTTATCTTTTTGGTCTATTCTATTTCTTTTTTAATATATTTTGTTACAGCTTTATGCTCTTTTCTAATAGGCCCATTGATCCTGAAAATTTTGTATTTATTTATTAAATCCATACATTATTTGCATATATTTGAATTCTATTATAAGTCCTTAAGTGGTTAAATGTAAGTTTGTCCTATGTATATATTGTAAGATTTTCTTACTTATTATAAAATTAATTGATAAATATTAATTAAGAGCAGTGATGCAAATAGGTGTGACTCTAAACCCTAACCCTAATCTCTTTGCAGAAGCAAAAGTGCATCTAATAGCAACTTGCAGGATCTTATGGTTTGTGTTTACTTTTGCTTTTCAGGTGTAATTCTTACCGACTATGACACAATATATTTATTACTATGATTAATTGATAATTGTGAATGAATCTCTTCCTTTCTATTAGTATATGTTCATCCTATTTTGCATTAAACCAACTTTAGGTGTCCATATGTAGTTCATTTTTATAGCTAGGCTCATAGAACGTTATCTAATTTAATATAAGTTGTTTGCATTGCATCCACTTGCATTTAATATTACATCTTAAAAATTTCACTAGCCAGCCCTATGTTCATTGTTAAGCATCACCAAAGTCAATGGTTGAGGGTATAGCCCACCATTTGTGGTGCTAATTAACTTCTTCTCACCAGACACCATCAGTGCGTCATCAATATACAGTTATGATAATGAATTTGCTCTTGAAGTGCTTAAGATACACAAAAATAGTCTTCATTAATCATTGTAAATCTAAATCTTAGTCATCATTTTGTCGCCATTTGTTTCTACCTATAAATGGACTGTTAAAACTTACACACCTTGCACTCAAGATTTTCAGACACAAACCTCACTCATTGGTTGATCCATAAAGATTTCTCTTCTATTCTTCATATAGAAATATCATAAAAAATGAAGCATCTATTCTTCTTAAGAATTTGCAAAGATTCAGTTGCTAAAGTAAAATTATGGATGCATATGGAGAATGTCATCCTACATTTTAAGATTGTTCAACTCCTTCAGAAGATTGAGTTCAAAGATGGCAACTAAAATAGGCACCTATTTTGTGATTCTGTATTTTGAGAGAGATTCTTTCTTGTACAATCATGATACTTTCAACACTGTACACAATGCATATCTTGGTTTTAGATGTTATACCCTGTGTAAACAACAACGCAAATATATTACAGAAAGTACAGGTGACTGCCGCAACAAAGTAACTACCGGGCTTAGGCCCAGGTATATATGTACATGTAATTATTGTAAAGATGACTAGTGATGCCTAGCATTATGTTATTACATTGACATAAATTTGATGTCAAAAGAATGACGTAGATGAATTCCTCCCTCAGTAACTGGAATTTAATGGTGTTCTATGGACAAATATTTCTTGGCTTCAGCTCATAGCCACTCATAAAGTTACTTTCTGCAAAAAGTTAAAAATAAAATAAAATAAATTGAACAATATACCCATAGTCAGCAAGTGGAATATAAAAAAAAAAGGGAACATTCGTGTTTAGTGCATATATATATGTGTGTGTGTATACATGTATTCAAGAAGAGGGCTAAATAGTAGAAACATTATGAGATTATTTAACTTGGAGCGTTGAGGCAGGGGAACTTTTTCAATGAAAACTGGAAGAAATTCAAGCTCAATTAAAGCTGGGTACAGAGTCATAATTAGTTTACAATTAGATACGTGATTAGAGTTTATGATTACATATTTAAAATTTGATTTCAATTTTAAATTTTAAATTTGAGTTTTTTAGTCTTTTAGTTCTATCTGTATTATGAATTCTTACAAGTCAATAAATGCTCTTGTAAATTTCAGATTTGATCAAGAAAATTTTATTTAGATTTCTTTGAGAATTTGGAATGCCATTGTGTGAGCTCAACAAATCCTATTTGTTTGAAGGTCTGGTTCCTTCTCTTTGCCTCTTGTTGAACTCACTATCCCCCTCTCACACTTACTCGCTCATTGGCTACGCACCTGTTTACCTCCACCAAGTGGTATCTGAGCAAATCGATCCATAGTTAGATTTCAACTCCATGACGGATACAATAATTTCTGCTTTTTCATGTCTTAATCTTAGTCTTCCTGTAGTTTTAGTTATTTCAATAGCAGGATACTATTGTCTCCCATCACAAAAGCACTAAAACCAAAGCTTTTAAAGTGCAAAGCAGGTCAAAGTGACATTTCAAGTTTTAAAAGTGCGAGGCAACCACCGGTTTATTTAAGCTAACTGAGGCGCTAACGAGGCTTTTAGGCTTTTTACAACAATGAAAAAGTCATGACCTAATCTATCTAGATTCCAGACAATGTGTTTCATGTCTGCTCTGACATGTCACATACCTACTGTTATATGTTTGTTCCAGATGTATGAACAACAAAAACCAATTTATGTACATAGTACATACATTAGCCGCTTAAAGGATAACTACTTGTACCTAGCTTATACCTGACTAGATACATGTACTGTCTACATAACCTTCAAAACTTCAAAGATGAAAAGGGAAACCTTGTGAGTGCTAAGCCCTCAGGATCTACCAGAATATACATAACGTAAGCCACAAGAAAGTTTGTTTTAACTTGTTCTAACTTTCAATATTAAGAGAAGATGCAAGAGACTAGGAGAAGGATTAGATTACAAATGGGAGATAGAATATACTTGCGGAAGATATCAACATCAGATACGAGTTAGTCAAATATGAATGAGGAATTCAATCGAGGTAGATTTTACCAGGTAATACATGAATAGATCAAGTATGCAAGTTAATAACATAAAATATGTCAATTGAGGTAAATTTCATCAGCTAATACATGCATGTTCAAGAAGTATCTAGGTTATTAACCCCAATAATAACCTGACTGCAATAATTTATAAAGATTGCTATAAAGTAAAAGCAAAAAAGTAACAAACTTTCCTCAAGTTTATACCTCCCAAACAGAGTTATTCCCCATTCATATTTTAACTTTTACACTGGTTATTTTGGAACTAATGCACTACTATATTAGAAAATCTTCACATGCATATGTGTATGCAAGCACTCATTAGAAAAAGCATGCAAGTACATAAGCTAAAACACCCAGGGATCAAGTATGTGAAAGGTAAGTCTATTACCTCGTTAGTGTCTGCAACTTGATAGACAGGCAAGCTAATAGGTTGTTTCACAATCAAAAGTGCCGTCTCCAAATCAAGGAAACCAGCTGCCACCATCCTTCTCAATACTCTAGCTTGTGAATATTTCCCCCTTAGGAAAGTTAAAAAAACTGCATATTAGTTTTTCTAAATGCGAAGTTCTTTTTTCCAAAAAGGAATATGGAAACTTACTTATGATGACAATTTTTATGATGCATAACTTAAAAGAAATAAATGAGTAGATAGGACACATAGAATATTGAATAACAAAAGAACAGCCGGACTATAACTTCCATAACCTTTGTAAGTTTGTAATTGGGTTTAGGGTTTCAGGAGACGGTAATATCCCAGCCAACAATGCTGATTCTCCTATATTAAGAACAGAAGGGTGCTTTCCAAAGTAAAAAAGAGATGCCGCTTCAATCCCATACTTTCCATGTCCCCAGTACATCTGCAGCATCAGTTTTCCAATTTATTACCAATGGGTCCAATATCAAGAGAAGTGAGTAAAAAATGATTTTCATGTTCTTATTTATATGCTCCATACTAGAGGGAAAAGGAAGGATAGAAGTGTCATCAGTGCAGAGAGTAAGATTTCTAAAACTTAAATCATAAGTTGCTAAATTTTGCATCATTCAGTGTATATCAGTATTAACTACCAAAAAATAAATGCATCACGTTGTCTAATGATCCACCAAAATAATTTAATTTAGGCCACCTACCTATTGATAATAGCGCACACCACATTGCTGCAAACAATGTGAACTTTGATGCCGTAGCTTACATTATAAGGGATACATTGTTTGGAAAAATGTGCAAAATCTGTTCATGCTAAAAAAATATATAAGAAACCACCTTATTTATATACATGATGGCTGCTTAAGCATGATATTAACTATGAAACATTATTTGCAAGACATATATATGCATGAAAAACTGTAAAATTCAACTTTTGCGCTAAAAACTAAAATGTAAAGATAATTAATGAACAACACAGGGTACATCTGATCTGATGTGAGTGATATGAAGGAACACAAACAGATATGGATATCTGCAAATATATCCACATCCAATCAGATACAGATTTTTTCAGAATACAAATAGAGAAGTGAATACGAGTACAAAAGATACAAATCATACAACAGTTCAGACATTCGGGCGAGAGTGGATGATTTTGCGAGTCTACCCTAGCTTTGTAGACATCAGATACACGGCTAGTCTTTAATTTGAGAGATTCCTTGTACTAATTATCTCTTATGTCACATTATCTGAATATTTATAGGTCTAATTTAATGGATATGGATATGTGTTTTTCTAATTGAAGTGTATCAGTATCCATAGTGCACCCAGGGTTGGAAAACAACCGAATCAAATCGAATATCAGTGTGTTCGAATTCAAATTCGATTGAAATTCAAACATTCGAATTCGAATTTGGGTCAATATCGCAATGATGTTCATATTCAACTCAGTAATGTATTAGATATTCGGTAAATGTTCACGAGTACTTGTTAGCCAATTTGGTTTGGGGGCTCTGGCTTCCAAACAGAAGTTCTTTAATTCGAACCTTGAAGTTGACATATCTTTTTGACTTTTTAGTACTTGGAGATTTTTGTATATACATCCTTCCAATTGTATATATTTGTAAATATACCCTCCAAAGCATCATACTTGTTGATTTTCCCTCTAAATTGCCTTTCCCATTCAAGTTTATGCATCAATTTAAACTAAAAAAAATTAAGAAAAAAATTCTAACCTACATTTTGATAAATATAAAACATAAATGAATATTTAATGATCAAGAGAAAAATACATCACGTTATCTATTCGTTTCTAAATCAAATACTAAAAAATATTTGTTTATTGTTATATAAGGTATCGAGTTGAATATGATCAAATAGTTGGACGAATAATAACCAAATTGTGTTGTGCGCAGCGAAAATTTCGGCAGAGTTTTTGGTGCACAATAAGAAAGAAAGATCACAATAAGAATTCCCGTCTCACAAAGGAAACAAGAATCTGAAGTGAATATCTCAACAAAGTGAGATATCAGCTCTTCCTCTCAATAGTTCTAGGACTGACCTGTCGAGAGAACCTAATAAACTATTACAATGGGCACAAACAGCAAATCACACAAATTTTACGTGGTTCGGCAAATTACCTACGTCCACGGGGCAAGGAGGGGGGAGATCTACTATTAGAGGGAGGGAATACGACTAGGGTTTACAATCACATAAGATCTCACAAATAAACCATCGATCTAATCTCTCAATTCCTCTCTCAAAAGGGATGCTAAAACCCTCTCAAAGTCGGCTCAAGGACTGCTCAAAGATCTCCTCTTGAAATCTGCTATTTTTCACCAGCAAGAAGCCCAAGAAGCTTCTGCCGAAAACAACCACAGCCGAAAACAAAACTTCTTCGCACAAAAACCTAGATGACAATTAAAAGGGTATTTATATTGTTCAAGAGCGGGTCTTCGGGTGGGCCATCAAAAACTTTCGCTGTCTTAGGTACTCCCCTGGTACTCCCCCGGTACTCCCCACGTTATCTCTTCACATGGCTTTGCAGCAACACATGGGTGGGCCCCCCTTCCCGCGTCATTCACAATTCTTCACCTCAGCGAAGTTTTCCCAAAACTGAGCCGACACCAAAGCAACCAAATATCCCACTTGTTATGTCCAGTACGCCGTGAAGTTAATTCACGACAACAGACTCAATCCATAATAAGTCGGAACCCGAACGAGAGTCCAAACAATCTCACCCCCATCAAAATCAACTAATCCAAAACCGGTTGCATAGTAAAGACTGCCTACGTATCCTCTTGCCTAAGGAATCAAGCCGAATGTAGTTCACCCAAATGGTCGCGAACGACCTCAATCCAATAGAAAAGTTCACAACCCTTCTCCAATATCATCAACTCTGCGGCCGATAGCACCTCCAATGGCCTCAAAGTGTAACGAATCAAACACCTCCACCTGAGGTGAATCAACGGTCATATCCAAATACAAACTATGTCCACCAGCTATACTCGAATCAACCAACTCATCATCTGCATTCAAATCCAAATGGTCTCTAAACCGTGTCACCTCAGCTGGAATTCCAAACGATGTAGTATGATCTGGAGTAATCTTCACCCAATATGGAATAGCATCACTCTTCACCCGCTGCGATACATCTAAGATCTGTCAAAAACTATCCACCTACTGAGAGTCAATTAGCTCCCTCATCGAAGCCTCAACTGAAGTGACACTACCAGACCAAACACCCAATTGAGTTTTACCTCCTATCACAGCAGTTGACAACTCTTTAATAGGATGACCTAAATATGTCGAAGTCTCAGTCCAAAAACTCTTCTGCATATCATTGCTTGATAACAAACACCGATCCTCCTCCAGCAATGCACGGTTCTCCAAATTTGTCACCTTATCTAGTTGCCCAAAGATTTCCTTTCCAACGAAGTGTCTCGAAATACCATGAGCTTGGCTCTAATATAAAAACAGGTCCATCTTGTACCTCCCACCAAAACCAGAATGAAGTACTTTCACCTTTCTGTCTATCGTACACTTTTTCAATCTGTTAAAGACTACTAGGATTTTTTCCAATGAGGATTTGGTTGTAACCCAAAAACGTCTAGAATAGACACCAACAGAGGAAATCAAACATCTATTACCTCCCAATGATGCCCCTTTGGAAGGCCCCAAAACATCCATGTGAACCCCATCTAAAAGACCCTCCGTGCGGTGAATAGAGATGTCAAACTTCACCTCGGTCTTCTTGCTCACACCAAAGTGTTCACTGGATTTCAAATTACAGGTCTTCGTACCCTCTTTCAATCTATGTAAGGAATCAATACTAGAATGACCAAGCCTCAAATACCGTAGTCTAGTCGAATCAATAGAAATCGTCACTTCTTTACCTGTCACTATACCTCCAGTCAAGTAATACAGGTTATTCCTCCTGACGCCCTTCATCACAATCTGAGAGTCTTTCACAATCTTGAGAACGATGTCCTCAATTCGAATATTCAGACCCTCTCCAACCAAAGCTCCAATCGAGATCAAGTTCTTCCTCAAGGAAAGAACATATCTCATATCATATAACTCCCTAACAGTCCCGTCAAACATCTTGATGCGAATTCTTCCTATCCCAAGGATCTGGCATGTACGGTTATCAGCCATATACATCACACCACTATCCAGCTTCTTAAAACTGGAGAATTATTCCCTTCTAGGACATACATGATAGGTCGCACCACTATCCAACACCCATTCAGATTCCTCCGAATAGCTATCTGTAGGAGTGATAGAAAATGAATAAATAGAAGAGTCAAAAATATTACCATCCGATATAACAATGTTTGCTTCTGATAATGATTGCTTCCCTTTTCCCTTCTACTTATTCTTCATCCATTCGTCGAGATTTGGGCAGTCTTTCTTCTAATGACCAATCTCCTTGCACCAAGCACACTGATCTTTTTTAATTGTAGGATGTCCTACTCAAGACTGTGACTTCCAATTCTTTCGGTTTGGACCCTTCCCTCTTGCGGTCAACGCCTCTGCTACCGGCTCAACTGAAGCATTATTATCCTCTTCTTTCGAAGCTGATAATTCACAAGTGCAACAGTCACCTCACTATACGAAAGAGATGCCTTCCCATTAATCAGAGTAAGAACGAAAGTCTCATATTCCTCGTCGGACAAGGAACTCAACAATAGCAACGCCATGTCCTTATCTTCAATCATGACATCCACATTCGTCAAATCCGTAAGAAGCTTTGTATAGGTGTTCATGTGATCACTAATTGAGGTTCTCTTCTTCAACTGGAAACGATAAAATCTCCTCTTTAAATGCAAGCGGTTCTTAACACTCTTTGTCAGATACTTGCTTTCGAGAATCTCCCAAATCTTCTTGGCAGAAGTCTCATTCATCATATCATATTTTAGATCTTGAGTCAAACAAGTCTAATCACACCATAAGCCGTTCGATTCATCTTCTTCCAAACCTTCTCTTCAATATCATCTGGTTTGCCATCTAACTCCAAGGTATCTTTTAAATTCTGCGCGTTCAGCGCATCCAAAACATCGCATCTCCATAATCCAAAGTTGTTTGTGTCATTAAACTTCTCCACAGAGTGGATATTCAAACTCTGAATGGTCTTCGCGCCAGAAGCACCACCTTCGACACCCGAAACACCTTCTTTCCCCGACATCTTACCCAACGCACCAACGAACGAAGAATAGATCCAAAACTAAAAAGATGAAGTTTTTACCAAAAGATCCCACCTTTATCACCAAACAAAGCCCTAGACGAGCTTCCAAAGCGATCTACTCCTCCAAATTGCTCAAACGTAGCCTGAGCTCTGATACCACTTGTTGTGCGCAGTGAAAATTTCGACAGAGTTTCTGATGCACAATAAGAGAAAGATCGCAATAAGAATTCTCGTCTCACAAAGAA